ATTACTTTGCCACACACTCCTGGTAAACTGACTTATTGGGTAGCCAGACCACTGCAGATTATTGTTTGTTCGCTGACCTGGGCCAACGACGAACTATTTTAAAGAGAACAATTGTTAGTGAGTCTGTTCCATCTGATCTCTTTATTTTTGTCTACCAAACCTAGCGTAATTATTTTTAATTCTTTGCCACACACTCCTGGTAAACTGACTTATTGGGTAGCCAGACCACTGCAGATTATTGTTTGTTCGCTGACCTGGGCCAACGACGAACTATTTTAAAGAGAACAATTGTTAGTGAGTCTGTTCCATCTGATCTCTTTATTTTTGTCTACCAAACCTAGCGTAATTATTTTTAATTCTTTGCCACACACTGCTGGTACAAATTTGGTGAGCCGGAGTACTTCTAGATATTTTTTTGAAAGCTTTTCCTTTAAAGTCGTCGTAATTTTTTTTGCCCGGTGATTATGGAGGCACACTTTGACTCACCGGATTTAGTCGAGAACCCAATTAGCATACGTCTGCCAGACTACAATCCAGGCAACCCAAGGGTATGGTTTCACCAGGTGGAGGCCGTTTTTGCTACCCGACGCATCACTTCCCAAGCCACCCGGTTTTCCTATATTGTCCAGCATCTTCCTTGTGATGTAGCAACAAGAGTTGAAGATCTGTTGGAAGATATTCCTAAGGAAAATCCGTATGACGCCCTTCGAGCGGCCGTCATAAGTCGGATAGGGAAATCAGAAGACAAAATGCTGCCGGATTTATTCACCACCGTCGAACTTGGGGACAGATCGCCATCGCAACTGTTGCGAGTGAGCAACTTGTGATTCGTCACTGTAGTTTTTCGAGCGTGTGACGTTTTTGTACCTTTATTTTACTTCCATTATAACACTACGTATTTCACCAATTGCATAATCGTCTTTTGTTTAAATACGAAAAGCTACAAAAAACGCGCACTTGTACAATTTCATTTAATACGAGCGTCGTCACGTGCTTCGACTCTCTCTTCTGATTTCGCTCGCGCCTGCAGCGGTCATTCGCGAGTCTCATGTACTAACTCTGGTACCCAAAACATTTCAGACATCTTCGGGATCTATTATATGTGGGGACTATTCAGAAGAAGACCTCTTGATCAACATAATTGGATTATTGTTTGTTCGCTGACCTGGGCCAACGACGAACTATTTTAAAGAGAACAATTGTTAGTGAGTCTGTTCCATCTGATCTCTTTATTTTTGTCTACCAAACCTAGCGTAATTATTTTTAATTCTTTGCCACACACTCCTGGTAAACTGACTTATTGGGTAGCCAGACCACTACTGGATGAATCATTTATCTTTGCCTTTTAAACAGAGTATTTGATCTTCCAACTTGGGGACAATGAGCACGCAGCGTGATCGTTACTGAAAGAGGCTGGCGCAGCCTAGTTTCAGGAGAGAAACAAACGTTTCGGAGGGTTTGGTCTGAACATACTTCTTAAGCGTTAATTATAGTTGAAGGATGAGCGCTTGATATTGTAGAGTTTTTCATGTTGTTTTAGGGTATATATAGCATGGGTGCACAGCTTGGTTGTTGGCCCCTTCGCAATCCAACTGCAACCATGACGAACAGACCAACAACCAAGAATTTTTCATATCTAAATGATTGTAATGTTTCCGCGGGTTGGATCACTTGGGATAAATCCACGTTCGTTTCTACGAAACTGTGGGATTTCCAAGTTGCCAGCTTCACGGAGGTATTCAAATCTCAATGCCCTTTTAAGTTATATGTTGTTAAATTGGACGAAGTTTCAAGTTCATCTAAAAGTGCCCATTTGCATAAGATGACCAGTTTGCAGGCAAAGCGGCCGCTGGCTATTCCACAGTGAGGTTGAGTTCTCGAAATCCGCGGCATTTTCAGACTTGTCACTTCATAGTGTAGAATGTCTCTGTATAATGTATATGCTCCTATATTATTGAAAATCCTCTACTATGGCGATTTGTTTAAGTGAACGAAATCTCCAGGTGAATAAACACCGCCGACTGAATACGTGACCTGATGATAAAAAATCGCGAATTGTGGAAAAGTTTGACTCACATACAGTGAACGTGACTTTCAGGTATTCTTCCACCGGAATAGATTTCCTCAACAATCTAAAATCTAAATGTCCTTTGGAAATGCAATCTATGCGTAGGCGCATTCGTGCAAACAAATTTTGGTCGATGATTCTTTGTTGCCAGTAAAAATTCCGTAGTGCATGCTAATTATTTGCTAAACATCGTACACGTTAGCTGGCAAATCACAGAGTTTTTCATTATAGGTTCTGAATTATGCTAGAAAGACCTCGAGGTTCATCGATCTTAACCGACGCTCACCACTAACATGCGTCTAGGGGTACGCTATGGCTAACTAACTAGCTACATAGAGCCTACGTCGATAATACCAGACAGCTGAACGATCTTAACCGACGCACACCACTAACATGCGGCCAGGGGTACGCGATTCCTCACTAATCCATCCATAGATAACGGAAAAAAGGCTCAAAATGGACGTCTTGAAATTTTGAGATATATTGGTCGCTTTGAAGTTTGCATATGTCCTTCTGTAAGGCGTATTTATTTCTTCGTGAGGAGCGCTCATTTGGCCGTTGAAGTCCTGAAATGATAGGAAGATATAATTCAGGCTATCGAAATATCACCATAAGGCGGGTGGCCGACAAACAGGTAGAGATACTTTCCCCAAAATTCACTGCAGCGACTATGCCGTCGTAGATGCCTGTTCACACAATGCCATCTTCAGCGGTTATTTTGCATGCCTGTTTACTGCACCTCTCAAGAAATACGAGACTTACATGTAATGCATAGGACCTCATTAACAGACAAACTTTTCGGAGGCGATGGGTCACACCAAATCATCTTCGTCTCTTTCATCTAGCTGGCGTTCTGCAGAGTTAGTCGTAGTTGTCAGACATACACTCACGGCTGTCGAGTAGTTCCTCTGTGGACCCGAAAACACGGACGCACACAGACTTACGGAAAAAATTGTGCCGGGAATCTGTGCTTTGGTCCAGGTCAACATCATATGATGCCCTCTTTGCGGACCGGGCAGCAAGCACGCACACGCGTTTTCTGGATGGGCCCGGAGCTAAGAACCAAAGGTGACTTATTTTCATGTGGACTCACCTTTGGGACAAGCCTGAAGAGCACCACCACATAGTGGGCAGGGTTCACCGCCACAACAGTCGGCGTGATATGACACGCGATCCGTTGTACACCAGCAGTCACTGGTAGTAGTAGGCCGGTCACAGTGCACACAGAATCCCGAGTCAGCGTTTCCAGACCGCCATCTGGGTTGAGGCGCAGTATCCTCGACCACCAACGGCAGATCGTCGGTTGCAGACTTTGAGGCTTGACGCAGCAGGATTTCGCCCTGAACAATCAGCCGCTTAAATATGGCGGTGGCCCTCCTGGGTTCCAGCCTCTGAAGCTTATCCATCACCCGATTCAGTTGCTTACGAAGACCGTCGAAAGCTGTCGGGGGTGGTTTGGGAACAAGTGTAAGTGGTACACCTTTTCCCGGTAGGTTGTAATCTGACAGCCATCGTTGGTGGATTGGAAAGCAAGCTAAGAAAAAGTCAATGATGAATAGTTCTTACTGCTCGGAACGGACTGATCTCGAAATACAGAGAACAGGTGCACACAGGGGAGCCACATCGCCTGGTAGAAAGGGCACGTGCATTCTCCAGCACAGGTGTCGACAGTCTGGGAGCATCTAAGTGTTTGCACCACAAACTATGAGTTAGTTTACGGAGCTCGACCTCACCTTGTTTGTTTCGACACTTTCATACGGCAGCCGCGGCGGTCGCGGACCCAAGTGTCTCAAAACGAGAGAGCATGCATATGTCGTCATTCGACAGACTACGTTTAGAACGTAGGCGTCACCCTCCAGGATTTGCCGCCTGTCGCAGTGGTACGACGTATGCATCTCAAACTCCCGCATGAGCCACTCGGCGTGCCGGGACACCTTTTGAATGGCATGCTCCAACGTGTCGGAGTGGTGCACCTGATCTTTAAGGCGCCCGTTCGCATTCTCCAGTCGGTTGTTGGTCACATTACCGAAATGAACCATTCCGGACTGTGCGTGTATGGCCCATTTTCGGGTGATGTACAACCAGCGAGCCGTAAGATAGGAGAGAAAACGGGGGTCGGTTCGACGCAGAAGCTGTAGATCTTGTCGGAATCTGTGTGCTTGTAATATGATGAACATAAAACCTACTGTACAGCATTGTCCAGGCGAGCCATGCGGTGAAATATGTGCCGGCTGTTCGCAGAATGTGTCTGTGACCATAAATACATGGATATTAAATGATACATACGTGCTTCCTGATGGCTTTGCGGACGTGAAAGTAGCAAAGCATAATGTCACAGCCGAACACTACTCTTGCCGCACGCATTTGCGCCGCCAACTTGTCCATTACGAAGGTCCTGACCGGATACGCTTCGCCCATCATTTCTTTGAACAAGCCGAACAGTTTACGCATGGGAGCAAACTGCTCGCTCTCTACGAACGCATACATAACCGGACGCCCGGTTCCCATGCCGTCCGTTATCAAGAATGTGTATAGTTTATATCTAAATACCGAATATTAGATGCTTTAAAAAAACTTACCCAAGGCGGTTTGTTGCATGTGTCCCGTCCACATTCACTACGTCGGGAAAGCGTCGGAATAACGCTATCTGCTGCCATCGGGAGAAACATATGTGGCTATAGTGACCTTCCTCTCCCTGACACACAAGAACGCGTCCGGTCTCCCGAAGTTTTGCCAGGACCGAAGGCATATCATCTGCTACATTAAAACCCAACCATTAGGCACCTACTCAACATAGCCGGTCGACACTTCCGGCGGTAGTTGTGTATATCCTTAGTTGTAAGAATCTTTCCGAATTCATCCGCCACAAACTGCCGCACCTCAGATGACGGCGTTCCATATCTCAGCAGGGCCTGGCATGTGCCCAACTCGTCTTCGGTTAAGCGTCGATTGACTGGAAGCCGATCGTAAAGAAACTTTGACAGTTTGTGGTTGTGTTCCAGAAAATAAGACGTCACTGCCAGTTGGTTCCTTTGCCTCCGTAGACAAAACCGCACTGGGCAGCTGGTGCTTCGCGTACTTTTTTTATTAGAAATTACGCTCGGCTTACTAGCTTCTTCGGATTCCACGGCTTTCCGTTTTTCTTGGAGGGCGCCTGCTGCATTTGTAGTACACCCATTCGTAACGCAAAATAGTGTTGGTGCTTCGATTACTGGATGAACGCACAAATATCACAAAGTTATCCTTCATGTATTCATTTAAGGTCTTCTCAAATGCCGTGAAGGATGAAAACGATACACCCACAAATTTCTCAAAGAAAGCCACTCCCGAAGCCATAGCAGACGAAGTTCAAAGCCGAATGTGCGCCAATAATTTTCAAATGACACCGATTAAAACAAATCGCAAAAAATGACGGCAGATTAGGGGGTTTTCAGTGTACGCATATATGCAAAGAAGTGCAACATTTTGACGTTAAAGATTTATTACGCCCGCAGGGGTTTTACAGAAAAATGCATGTGTGTCTAGCCGCTGGCGGCAAAGAGGCCGCCGGCGATTTGCACATTCAAATTAGTTTCGCCGAAAATCTAGAGTATTCGAAGTTGTGATTTTAACGGGAGTTAGTTCAACCCATTTGCACCCTCTGGTGATGTTCCGCTTATAACATATGTTTAAGTGAGCAAAAGTTCAAGGTCGCGGACGATCGGCGATTTGCGTTTTCCTACCGGTTGACGCGACATAAAATACGAAATGGCACTTACGCATATTTTTGCATTATTCGGTGTTCTTCAAGAATGAAAACCATCTAAAGAATGTCTGATGCAAATTTCACCCAGAAGAATGGCTGTTGAAGTTTGTTTGCTTTACACTCCTTAGGTTTAACAATCGCCATTATAATCGCAAAATATATTTTATTCAGTGAACCTGGTCACATCTTTTCCCGTGAACCTCAACTCTCATTGATTACATCATTGTCAGACAAAAGCATGCACTGTGGAGTGGCAACGCGCGGCCAACTCTGTGGATCGTCCACTTTCCCAGATATTCATAACTAAATTGTAGATAAGACGGCGTCACGAAATAGCTGCAGGCATTACTCCTATTGTGGATATGACGCTCTGTAGATGGTGACCGACTTAAAGCACCATGATAACGGTAACGACTATCACTCACCTCGACTACTTATCGTAAATGGTTGGTCCGTGTCTATGTGCGACGCTGATTATGGAGTCTCGCCTATACACGGTAGCGGAATCCAATGACCAACCATGGTCATTCATACCCATAACCATACGCGATGCCGCTAATCGTTGCTACCCATGTAACGGTGATACTACTGATCGGGAGGCACGCGAGTAGTATGAGTTGTTTGTAGAATTTCGCTCTGCATCGATGGAAAAAGGGAATTCTGTTGCGGAATTCGTGGGGCCACCTTGTAACATTTGCTTGGATTTGATCGACGAATGAGTGGAGGCAACTAATCTCTAAGAAAACTCGTTCGGGAGAAGATCTGTGTCCAGTTTTTGGAACTAAGATGCAGATGAGAGTTTCGCTTCCGTGTTCAATGGTCTGTAACCGGTCAGTTGGCATTTCCGAATAAATAACTCCCCATCGAAGGCCTTCTTCCTTTCGCGCATAGAAACACCAGCCCAGTATCCATGCGGGCCGGCAAAAACAATAATAATATTTATTCCCCAACTAGTGGGTAGCATACCGTCGGGCATGACCATAGTATTGCAGTCAGAATAAAGGGGGTTTGTGTTAATGGGAAAAGGGAAAGTGACGTAAACAGTAAACCTTATTGGAGTAGAGTTTATCACACCTGAGGTGGCATGGGTAGGAATTCAAAATTACAAGGTCTCTTTATGTCCTATGGAGAGCATATCAGATGGCACGAGATCTGAACGTTGAGGTTTAAAAGTGGCGGGCAAAGAAAACAATACAAGTGAGGGCATAACAAAGAGCTTCCAGACTGGAACATGAGAAAAAAAAAAAAAAACTTCAAACTACAGGAAGTGTAGGGCCGGAATAATGGATATGGAGATGCAGCAGAGCTGCCACGACATGGCAGGCCGGTTTGAACTAAAGTCCGGAACCGTCACTAGGGCTTCATGGCCTTGGGCTATGGCGGATGGCCACGGAAAGGTATGTGGGGGTGGTGTAGTGGGGTAAAAATGTATTACGGACAAACGGTAGCAGGAAACGCAGAAGTACAGTGTGCAGTGAAGCGACTCACTAGTGTTGCAGATGAAGCAGGGTCGAGTGTAAAAGTTTCTTGGGAAACGAGTTCACGCAAGCTGAGCAATAATTGACTCATTCGGTGAGGAGTACGAATAAAAGCCGTCGAGATCTTTGCATCTGGCAGAAGGTTCGGCAGATTGAAATGAACGCCTTCCGGTGGTGGCCGGGAACAATGAAGGTTGATTGTGGTTGTCGGTATGGGAACCAGTGAGCGAGAGGGCCTGGACAAACTTAAGAGGGGAACAATTGCGGGTATGCTATCAAACCGGGTATTCCAGCGCCGTACCATCACTGCACTGAAGTACTTCGGTTTCTGGACAGCCCCGTGGTGGACGTCGTGAATTAGGTTGTTAGGCTGAGATGTGCAGTCTTGTTGTTGTTTTCCCTTTTATTTTCAGATCGGGGATCCCTTCCTTCGTGATGCACGAATCGGGTGGAGTTGACAACAGCCAAACAGATAGTCCATAGCGCGCATTACCACGGGTCGAAGCTTGGGGAGAAAATGAAATGAGATGAGATCAATAGGGTCTGGAGAGTTATAGGGGTTATCAGACAGGATATAGTCCTTTAATAGGGAAAAAAATGATCGTCTACCACAGTTATGGAAGGACATCAGGTGATTAAACAAGACAGGATAAGGATGAATCTGTACTCAGTAGTGTAGTCATCAGAGTGAAGCTAAGATTGTCAATATAACTATACTACCTGAGACAGGACAGTTTACTGCATGTGGGCTAAGAGGCGGTGTGGTGAGGGTAAACCAAACTCGTAACGACTGGGGGGTGTAAATTCCTGGGGGTTGTTAGTAAGAAGGACAATACTAGGACAATCTAGGAAGGAAGGTGGATGCGAGGGAGAAGGTCCCCAGTCCCCGAAGCACTACTATCAGCCTTAATCAGTGAGTGGTGCGTGACGAAGATTTTTCGATGCTATCCTCGGATGTTGATAGTGGAGAGTCGGGAGTCTAAATGTATGTTTATATGTGTTGTATGTGTCCACTCCTGGGAGCAGCAAATTTGGTTTGTCATTTTTGTTTGGTTGACGAGGTAGGTTTTGGCGCGGTGTAGCCTCGATATTGACGAAGGCAGCTACAGCAACGCACGTCGACGTAGGCCATGGGCATCGCAGAGTTTCTTCTGGCTATCCCAGGTATATTGATTTTTTATTGAATACTTTTGGACAGGCGAAAAGGCCAGTTTTTGTTATTGTTTATGGCATTGCCAAATAGCTCAACCGAGGCGAGGCCAACACCAGCAGTAACAATCAGAAAACAGCAGTGCTCTTTTTTTTATTTCCCGAATTTAAAGGCCAGGCTCAGAACCACCGGCGATGGGCGATGCACCCGTGCTACTGGAGGGGTGGTGGGTATACGAACGCACCATGGTGCAACGTAACAGAGCGACCCTCTCTGCAGGGCGTACCCATCCACCACACGAGGTTTTCATCCCTCGTGCATGCTACCAGATCTGCAAGGTGGAAAACCATCCAAGCAGTCAAAGTGCGGTTTTGTGCATTAATAGACTACTCCAGTTACCAGTTTTTTTTCGGTCGGGGGAAAGCAAGGCCAGTAAAAACAGCTCAATCAATTTGGACAAGCAGACAGCAAACAGTCGCTGGCAGAGGCAAGTCGCGGAGGAGGCAGTGAAATGACAGTTGCCAATGTGACAGTGGGGACGGCAAAGTGATACTCAGTGCGAGTGCACTATGGCTAAACGGCGCCTGAACGTTGGTGTGAGCTACCATGTCTAGCAGAAGCGTACCGCGTAGTTGTGTGTGTTTAGTGAACTGTGGAGCAAATCATCATGTGGATTCGATGTAAATACATCGGTGTACAATGTGCCATAGTAGTGAGGAAAAGCTGACTTTTGTTTCGTTTTTGTCAGTTAGAGTTTAACCGACAGCACCACTCACTAGACAGAGCTGGTAGGGTAATCCGGGGTAGGGATTTGACTAGAACGATGTATAGGTTGGTTGAGAAAGAAAAACAACTAGGCCGGTAACACAACATACTCAGATCAAGTAAGCGTTTAAGTCCTGCAGTGGCTTGAGGTGGGGAAGGTAGGATGACTGGATCTTCTACTTGCCTACTAACATTATCGTCGCTATACTCAAATGTGTACTGGACCTATTTCATATAGGGGGTCGGGGGGTAGTTGGATTTTAAGTAGGACGGCAGCAGTTTCACAAGTAAGGAATTTGTCCAGGGACTGAGAAAAAGTGTGATGATGCGCGATGTTTCGCAGCTGCTCAGGAAGGCTGTTCCAGATGCGAGCGTAGTAAACTAAAAAGAAGTAGTGACGTATGTTTGTACGAGCTGGGGGGGATACTAAAAGGTTGTAGGAGTTACGGAATCGGTAGCGAGGACGTGAGTTAACGTTGGGTCTAGCCTCTGCTATAAAGGCCTTTTTGTGCAGCAGGCGGTGTAGGAGAGTTAGATTTATCTTAAACCGTCTGAGCCATAGTGGCTCGAGGCCAAGGGTTTGGCAGCGAGAGCGGTAAGAAAGAGGGTTTGACCGAGGGAACAGCTTTTTTGTGAATGAGCGTTGGACGTTTTCAAGTGCGAGCCTACAGCTTTGAGTATAAAAGGAGGAGAACATGGGACAGAATTCGACGATTGGCCGTACGCATAGCTTATAAATTGCAACCATTGTGTCTGGAAGGTGAAAGGAGCGCAGGATTAAAAAACTGAGCCTGCGTGCTCGGGCAACCTGAAACTGCACCTGGCAGGAGAAGTTAAATGTACAGGAGTATCTGAGGCCAAGATCTTTGATATCCGCTGAATGAGTGATGGGATTTCCATTTATTATGAAAGCATCAGCCGGGAGGGAACAGCGGCAGGAAGTTATGTAGGATTTCGTGGAGGAGAAGCTTAGACCGGAGTCGTTTGACCAACGAGTCAGCGAGTCTAAGTCTTGCTGAATCTGGTGAAACGTAAGAGCTCGTGCTGATGGGGGGAATGTGTACGCTATTTTTATGTCGTCCGCGAAAAGGAAGACTTTACCATGGGATACGGCACCGAAGACGTCGTTGATGTACAGCAAGAAGAGGATGGGGCCTAGCACACTTCCTTGGATGACTCCACTAGTGATCGATAGTGGTGATGATTGTATGTCCCCAATTTGTGTTACTTGAGTCCTGTCAGATAGGTAGGAGGCGAACCACTGAAATAAGGTT